AATGACCTCAACTAACCTAGAGGCAGTGGAAACAGGATTCCAGCCCCTACCCTGAAGATGTGGATTCAGCAGGCTGAGGGTGGGGTCCAGGCTCATAATTTGCGGGGCCCAGTGCAAAATGAAAATACAGGCCCCTTTGTTTAAAAAGCAGGAAACGTGTTTTTTCTTGCTTCTATGGTCTCTCTTTCCATCTGTCATTGTGTTTTTTTAGTTGTTATTTAATGTTTCAGTCCCTTAGGCATGGGGATACTTTCTGGGCAGGTACAGATCTCATAATGCCCCAAGTGCCAGGCCCAACACCTGAAAAGTGCTTAATATCGTTAGTCACCAGGATTATGCAAATAGGCTAAAATTTAAAAGAAGACACACAGATGGCCAACAAGCACATGAAAAGCACAACAAGCACATGCTCAACATTGCTAATGATTAGAGAAATGCAGCTCAGAACTACGATGAGGTATCACCTCACACCTGTCAGAATGGCCATCATCAAAAAGTCTACAATTAATAAGTGCTGGAGAGGGTGTGGAGAGAAAGGAACCCTCCTATACCGTTGGTGGGAATGTCAGTTGGTGCAGCCACTATGGAGAATAGTATGGAGGTTTCTTACAAAACTAAAAATAGAGGAAGAAGATGTGAGGATGCAAGTGGAGGCTGGAGCGATGCAAGGTCAGGAACCAAGGAATGTGGGAAACCTCTAGAAGCTGGAAAAGGCTCTGAAATGGACTCTCCCCTAGAACCTCCAAAAGAACAAGCCTTCGACTTTCATTGTGCAAGACCCATTTTGGACTCTGACCTCCAGAACTCTGCTGTAGACTCCTTACCCTGCATGTGTGATGAAATGCTGTGAGGTCGGCCATAAACCTTCAAGAACTAAGGCTCCCACCCAGGTGGAGGACAGAATGATGATGTTGACCCTCCTGACTTCAATCAACTAAAGCTTGGACTCTGTCGACCTTTGCCCCAATTCTGTGCTGAATTCTCCTCTGCTCAAGCACCCTCATGAATATGCATGTACCTTTAGCTTAAAACGTCCCCAGTTTTGCTTTTCAGGGAGACCCTGCTTTGGGAAAATCCCTAGTGTTCTCCTTACTTGCTGCAAGCAATAATAAATCCTTCCTTCTCCTCCCCTCCCTGCAAAAAAAAAGAAACTAAACTAAACTAAAAATAGAGCTCTCATATGATCCAACAATGCCACACTTGGGTATATATCCAGAACAGATAAAACTCTAATTTGAAAAGATACATGCACCTCAATGTTCACTGCAGCACTATTTACAATAGCCAAGACATGGAAGCAAGCTAAGTGTCCATCAACAGATGAACGGATAAAGAAGATATGGTGTATATATATATACAATGGAATATTAATCAGCCAACAAAAGGAATGAAATAATGCCATTTGCAGCAACATGGATGGACCTAGAGATTATCATACTAAGTGAAGTAAGTCAGACAAAGATAAATATCATATGATATCACTTATATGTGGAATCTTAAAAATGATACAAATGAAATTTTCTACAAAACAGAAATAGAATCACAGACATAGAAAACAAACTTAAGGTTACAAAAGGGAAAAGTGAGGGTAAATTAAGAGTTTGGGAGCCTTCCCTGGTGGTGAAGTGGTTAAAAATATGCCTGCCAATGCAGGGGACATGAGTTCGAGCCCTGGTCCAGGAAGATCCTACCTGCCGTGGAGCAACTAAGCCAATGAGCCACAACTACTAAGCCTGTGCTCTGGAGCCTGTGAGCCACAACTACTGGGCCTGCCTGCCACAACTACTGGGCCCACGCGCCGCAACTACTGAAGCTCATGCACCTAGAGCCCATGCTCCACAGCAAGAGAAGCCACCGCAATGAGAAGCCCGTGCACCACAACCAAGAATAGCCCCCACTAGCTGCAACTAGAGAAAACCTGTGTGCAGCAACGAAGACCTAACACAGCCATAAATAAATAAATAAAGAAACAAATAAATAAATAAAGTTATTACTGTTTAAAAAGAAAAAAGAGTTTGGGATTAACAGATACACACTACTATATATAAAATAGATGAACAACAAGGACCTACTATATAGCACAGGGAACTATGTTCAATATCTTATAATAGCCTGTAATTAAAAATAATCTGAAAAAGAATATATATCTATATCTATATAAATCACTTTTCTGTACACCTTAAGCTAACACAACATTGTAAATTAACTATACTTCAATTAAAAACAAAAGACTAACCATACCAAGTGTTGCCAAGGATGTATTTAGAGTGTAAATGGGCTCAGTCATTTTGGGAACATTGACAGTAACTACTAAACTTAAACCTCCCTTATGACTCAGCAATTCAACTCTATTCAACTGTGCGTGCTCATCAACAGAGATGTATACGAATATTCATAGATCTTTATTCACAATAACTGAAACCCAGATGTTTTCTATGGCCTGGAGATGACCACCAGTCCATCTTTGATCTAAAAACTCTAAATTCTATACCTTCAAGAAAAAGTGGACAATGGGGAAAATTATGGGGACCCTTCATAAAATGTCTATTCCATACAGGGTACTTCAGGCAAGGATGGGGCTGCTTACTGGCTGGTAAGATTTTTTAAGGTTCCACGTTGTCCTCCACAGGCCAACAGGCTCACAGACTTGGCCTTGACTTCCTCCCTGGACTGGACTTTTCTTCTGAATTTTTCAGATCAAGTGAAATAACAAATTGTCACCAGACCTAGAATGCTCACTCCTTTTAGGAGTGGGGAGTTGGTTCCAGCCAGTTATGAAGTCTGGGTAGAGAATGTGAATGTTTCCTTTGAGAAGCAATATTAGCCTTAGGTTTGCTTCCAGCATGTGTTTTGGGTTTTCTCCCAGAGGTTTCAGTGAGGAATCACATGTCTCAGAGGTGAAAGTAAAAAAAACATTTGAGTCTTAAAAATCACACTGGGTTGGAAACTATGTAGTTAGCTTTTTGTGCTAAAAACAATTTTTTAAAAAAATTTCAAGTGTTTTTGTTTTTTCTCTCATTAAAAAAGTATGTGGCTTTATATACACATACACATTGAGGGGCGGTGTGGGGAGGTGTTCAGAACAAGATGTTTCTCATTCCATTTGTTTCAAGCAATAACTCAAAAGGCTCTGGAGAAAATAAACCATACATAAATAGTAGAAAACAGACTGCATCTTGTTGCTATGGCAACGCCCTACTTATATCACATTAAGCTGATTCATGTCTTTTCTCACCTCACTGTTAATAAATTATAGTAGCTGATGAGAATTAAGCTGGCTGGAAGAGTTGGCATGGGCAAGTTGCATATTAATTTGTCATCCAATCCTGGATATCCCTTAATCTTTTTTTTTTGAGGAGAAAGCTACCTTTTATCTAACAATATATTTTTTAAAATTATTTTTATTGTCTTTTTTTTCTCTAAAAACTATGTCAACAGGAGTTTCAGGTTTAGATAATGGTTGCTTCCTGGCTGTTCCAGTAAGGCTTATGACTCTTGTGGAAGGAGAAAATGCACATGCGCAATAGAGCTGGGAAAGTTCCCTTGTTTCTTTTCCTGCTCCTTAACCCTTTTCACTTCTCTGTGCTTTTAGGGGCTTTAAACAAGCCTCTTCTCTTTTCAGCTGCCTTAATTCATACACATCCCCACATCCACACACACCCCAAGAGTAACAAAGTTAAAAGACAAAAAACTAGGTTGATAGATAGATAACAAAACAGGGGAAATATTGGCAACACACATAACAGGTAATGGACTAATTTCATTAATATGCCAAAAAATAAAACAACAAACAAACCATAAATTAAATTAAACAGGAAACCAAACCATAACAACAAATGAATGGACAACCCACTAGAAAATGAGCAAAGGATATGAAAATCAGTTCATTGCAAAAGAGATGCCAACAAATATCTAAAAATCTGCTCAATTTCAATCATTATTAGAAAATTAAAATAGCAAAGATGTGCAAATTTTCCTCCATGTTAGATAAGGGAATATTGAAAAGCTCCATGATTTGACAATGGATATGATGGGGGGGAAACAAACCCTTTTAGACACTGTTTATAGTAGTATAATTTGGCATAACTTTCATGGAAATAAATGTAGCTGTACTTATCACAATTTTAAATGCATGTACTCTTTAACCCAGAAGTCCCACTTCAATGAATTTATTTATAAATATACTTGCATAAGTGATTAAAATGTTTTTACAACATTCATTGCAACACTGATTGTACTAGCAAACAAAAACAACAAAAAGTCCCAACCTAGACAGGACTTAAATGCCCATCAATAGATGACTGGTTAATAAAATTGATTCATTCATCCTACCAGCTGTTTAAAAAGGGAAGAATTTGCAGCTACAAATTGCCAAGTTTTTGAACTGTGTTTATAATATGATCCCATTATGTTAAAATATATAGATGTATATATATATATATATATATATATATGCTCCTATATACACAAATTGAGAAAATTTAACTTTCATTTTCCACTCTTTTGCACTGTTTCAATTATTTTTAAACATGAAGACATATTACCTTTATGATAAAAAGCCTTTAAGCAGCATGTACACACACATACACACACAGACACACACACACACACATACTTGTGTGTGCATATACATTTTCATATATATGTCATCTTTTTGTCACCATGAAGAGTTAGAAGATATATAAGATAGTTTTGCCCACAGTATAGCTGGGAAGACATAAAATTAATAAAAAATACAAAGAATACCACACAATGGAATTGATCATGTGCCAGTGGTATTCTAGGAAGTAAGAGAAGGAAAGTTACTATGACTGCAGTTAAGCATAGAAGATAGAGGCATGAGCATTTGGCAGCATCTGGGTACAAGACACTCCAAGATGTCACAAAGAGGAGTGTTCACTACAGAGAAGAGTGGTGCTGGGTCAGCCTTACAGATGAATCACCCTCTGCAAGTCTCCTCTTTGGCTATAAGTGGTATAAGACTGTGATGAAAATTATACCTGTCCTGCCTTTGGAAACTCCCTGCCTGCTGGCTGTAAAAAAGCACTGCTGGCTGGTTTCTGTTAGGAAACGTCCAAGGTCCTGTAGACAGAGAGAAATTGTTTCATAATTAGTGTTGACCTGTGCATCAGTCGGTCAGGAACCCAAACTTTGTGTGGTGTTGATCCCTACTATTTGGACCTACTGCTTGAAACTCTGCATTAGTGGGAAATCCCTTTGGTTACTTTTACCTTTCTGGAGAAGCTAAGAATAATGATTAGAAGCATCGACTGCAGAACTGAACTGGATATAAATCCTGGGTGCATCAACTACTAGCTGTGTGTCCTTGGGAAAATCACCTAAACTCTCTGTGTCATGGGTTTCTATTTTGTCAAATGGGACTAATTATAGTTATCAACAATCTCATAGAGTTGTTTGAGGATCAAATGGCTGAATCACATACAAAGCAGGAAGAATAGTCTCTGGACACACAGTAGTTATTCACAATATTACTCACTCTCACTAGAGACAACAAGAATATCCTAACAACAAGTTTCCAGAGAGAAAAAAAAAAATCTCACACAACACATAGGGAATAAGAAAATAATGACAGTGATAAGAAAATAATGTATAAGTAGTAACATTGGAAGCCAGAAGAAAAGGAATGATGCCCACAAAATTAATTTCCACTTAGAATGTCATGCCCTGGCAAATCGAGCCTGAGGACATGATAAAGATAGTTTCAGACATGCAAAGTCCCAAACTTTTTACTCTCAAGTGGTCTTTCTCAGGAAGCTGCTGGTATATATGTTTCATCAAAAAGAGGGACTAAATCAAAAAGGAAGTTGTGGAAACCTGAAGCAGAGGACCCAGGGCAGGAAAGCAGTAAGGGAATTCCCAGGTTGAGAGCTGTGCTGCAGGCCAGGAGGACACCAGAGTAGACCGCAGGAGAGACATGGAAAGGAGGTTATCTAACAGGTTTGACTGTGGGGGAAATTGTACTGAAAGGCCCTCTTCAGAGGTATTGGGGGATATTGGAAGACCTAGCAGTAGGTTCAGGGAAAAGGAAGCAAATGAAAAGATAGGCAATGAATAAAGACAAGAAAATCAAAGTATCTTGCAAGAAAGGAAATGTAATAAGAGTATGCCACTCAGCTCAGCAGTGTGCAAGATTTATTTAACACAAAAATGAGTATGGATTTTTTAAAAAAAGATATATTAGAGAATGGGGAAAAGAGTAGAAAGTGTTTGAAAGTTAAAATATTCAGCTACCATAATAGGAAAACAGTGGATTATACATAACTCGACAAAACTAGAGAGAGTAGTATATGTTCATTATTTGGAAACATGGTGACAAATGACAGAAGATATATCAAGTGGATGCCTTTAGGGTTGGGACAGGAGGGGCAGTCAAGACAGTGACTGGTGTTTTCTTTATTATATTACTGTGAGTACCATTTGAGTTTATAAGTTTACATAAATTTTTAAGTATTCTGCAAATCTAAGGTTTTGACACTTCCAAAATGACAATGTTTCAACTTTAGTTCAGTGTCTATGAGGCCATAAGAAACTGATGCCTTAAAATCAGTGGATATGTTTAAAGATTCTGTTCTAACAAAAAGAGACAAGTAGAGGAAATGTAAGTCTTTTATTATCATTAATTTTCATCTAACTTTCTAGATTTAGCCTTCAAGAGGTTCATTAATGCCTCAAAACTTTATCATCTTATATTCTTATTTTATTTAAAATCTGTTTAAGGGCACAGTAAGATGGGAAGTTTACATAACTGTGACACTAAAACCAGGATATTGGGAGAAAAAAGAAGCCATAGCTCAAACTCACATAAGATATAGATATAAAAATCCTAACTCATTACAACAAATTAAATGTAATAAGAGTACGTTAAAAAGATAAATATATTTTGAGCAATTAGCATTATTCCCAGAATGTAAAGTTGGCTAAAAATTAGGAAATTTATAACTCAACATCAAAAAAACACACAACCCGATTAAAAAATGGACAGAAGACCTTAAGAAACATTTTTCCAAAGAAGATGTACAGATGGTCAATGAAACGGTGTTCATGAAAAAGAGGCACATGAAAATATGCTCAACGTTGTTAAGCATCAGAGAAATGCAAATTAAAACTGCAATGAGATATCACCTCACACCTGTCAGAATGGCTATCATCAAAAAAACACAAATAACAAGTGTTTGCAGGAATGTGGAGAAAAGGGAACCCTCATACACTGTTGGTGGGAATGTAAATTGGTGCAGCTACTGAGGAAAACAGTATGGAGGTTTCTTAAAAAACTAAAAATAGGGCTTTCCTGGTGGTGCAGTGGTTGAGAGTCCGCCTGTCGACTTAGGGGACACGGGTTCGTGCCCCAGTCCGGGAAGATCCCACATGCCGCGGAGCAGCTAGGCCCGTGAGCCATGGCCGCTGAGCCTGCACTCCGCAATGGGAGAGGCCACAACAGTGAGAGGCCCGCGTACCAAAAAAAAAAAAAACCTAAAAATAGAACTACCATATGACCCAGCAATTCTACTCCTGCGTATACATCCTCAAAAAACAAAAACACTAATTCAAAAAGATACATGCACTCCAATGTTCATAGCAGCATTATTTACAGTTGCCAAGATATGGAAGCAACCTAAATGTCCATCAACAGATGAATGGATAAAGAAGATGTGGCATATATACACAATGGATTACTACTCAGCCATAAAAAAAAGAATTAATTTTGCCATTTGCAACAACATGGATGGATTTGAGGGTATTATGCTTAGTGAAATAAGTCAAACAGAGAAACACAAATACTGTATGATATCACTTATATGTGGAACCTAAAAAATAAAACAAACTAGTGAATATAACAAAAAAGAAACAGACTCATAGATAAAGAAAACAAACTTGTGGTTACCAGTGGGGAGAGGGAAGTAGGGAGGGGCAAGAAAGGGGTAGGGGATTAAGAGGTACAAACTACTATACTATGTATAAAATAAATAAACTACAAGGACATATAGTACAACACAGGGAATATAGCCAATATTTTATAGTAACTATAAATGGAGCATAACCTTTAAAAATTGTGAATCCCTATGTTGTACACCTGAAACTTATATAATACTGTACACCAAGTATACCTCAATTTTAAAAAATTAAGAAATTCACTATATTAATAGACTACATGAGAAAAACGATGTGATCCTTATAAGTACAGAAAAGAAGTTTGATAAAATTTAACGTCTATTATTAATCAAAACTCAAACTAGAACTGCATGGAACTTAACTTGAGAAGGGACGTTTTTCAAAAACTAATAGCAAATATCTTGCTTTTTGGTGAACTACAAGTGACATTCCCCAACTTCTTGGGAAAGCCCATTAAGATCAGGAACAAGACCAGGAAGATAACACATGTTATTTAACATTATTCTGAAGGCCCATGTCAAAATAATAACATAAGAAGAGGAAGCAGGAGGTTCAATTATAGAAAAGACAGATATAAAATTGTCATTACTTGCTGCTGATATGATCATCTATTGAGAAAATATGAAAGAATTAACTGAAAAACCTAGGATTAATAGGAAAGTTTAATAAAAAGTCAGATTACTAGATAGCTATCCCCCCATCAACTTTCACATATGCCAAACATGACCAATTAGAAAATGTAATGAAAAAATTGCATTCATAATACTATAATAGAAATAGCATCAAATACTATAATAGTATCAAATAGCATCAAATACTATAATAATAATAATAATAGCATCAAATACTATAGCATCAAATAATATAATAGCATCAAATACTATATAATAGCATCAAATACTATAATAGCATCAAATACTATAAACTACCTATGAATAAATGGAAATTCAAAATATGATTCCCCATTAAAAAATTTCACAGAAAATGGGGCAAAATGTAAACAATTGGTAAAGGTATATCTTATACCATTCTTGCAAATTTTCTGTACTTTAGAAACCACATCAAAATAAAAAGTTACCCCCAAATTCAAGAGAAGTGAAAAAGAAAATGGACAATGTTGAAAGGGAAATGAGTAATCTGAACACATAAATAGAGACACTATCTCACAGCCTTAAGGAAAATTATCAAAAAAAAAAGAGGAGGGGGAAGTTAGGAGTAAAAAGGTGATCCATGGAAGGCATATCTGAAAGTCCCAAAATGGGAATCATAGAAGTTCAAGATTTAAGAAAAAGAATAGACGGAAAAGATGTAATTATGAAAGAAGAAATAGAAAAAAAAATTTCCTGGACTACAGCAAGTTTTCAGATTGAAAAGGCTCACAAAGTAATAGGCAGAATTCAGGAAAAAAGAAACAAACCTGACCACATCCTAGTGAAATGTCTAAACCCCAGGGATTAAAAGGAAATCTCAACAAGCTTTCAGGCAGAGATGTGGTGCCTAAATGAAAAGATAATCAGGCCAGGTTCAGATTCTCATCTGCATTACTTGACTCTATATATAGTGAAACAACATATACAGACATTTGAAAGAAAGGACCACAAGTCAAGATTCCTATTCTGAGCCTATTCCTATTCCTATTATCATTATATATGAAAGTAACAACAGACATTTTTCGGACAAACAATGGCACAGAAAATATACAGACATATGCTCTTTCTAAAGAAATTGCTCGGGAAGTACTCCAACCAAATAAAAGTTAAATTCAGAACAAAGATCTCAAAATGGGGAAGGGGGAGGGAGAGAATAAAAGAAGTGAAAAATTAAAAGTGTTCAAATAATCTCATCTCAGTGGTGGGAAGCATAGTTACCAACTGATCAATCCAGCAAAATTAAGGAAAGGGAAAAAGAGAAATCATAATAAAGTATCTTAATAGGTGTAAAATAAGATGAAAGTATTAAAACTCATATAAATCAGTTAAATTCCCTATAAAGACTCAAGTATTTTGTGTCTAAAATAAATGTGCCAGGAACAAAATGATCAAGGTTGAAAATAAAGAGGCAAATAGATCATGCAAACACAAATGAAGTGTTATGGCTTGTATCATGACTCCCCAAAAAGGTACGTTGAAGTCCTAACCCTCAGCACATACCTCATTAGGTACTTCAGAATG